TTTGCCGCCCCCCGTGCCATTTCGCTGCCGCGCTCGGATCGCTCGCATAGAAAGATAAACAATTTCCGACGCCGATATTGCTCTTGCTTGACTTGTTCCAACAAATAAGTTAATATCAAATTCCTCTTATCCGTTGCAATTGTATCGAGCATTGTATGCGAAGATCCGGCCCGCGCGCTATTGAATGCGTCTTGTCTTAAACTTCGATTAGCCTCGGTCGTGTTTGTTGTTTGGCGTCCGGTTATTTGTCGTGCTTGCGATCACTTTATCCACCAGCAGCAGCAAGCAGTCCGTTAACGATCGAAAAATTCATTATCTTGATAGGGAAATTCCGGGCGACGCCGAACAAAATTCCGCGCCTTTGAGTGGAAAGTTGGTCGGAAAGTTGAGCGCGGAAATCCGGCTTTTGTCCGAGAGATTGGCGTTAAATCGGTTGCGTCGTCCGGCGGCGGCTGCTGCGTGTATCGGACGTCGCCGTGGTGCTCGTCAGCGGCGTCGACACTCGCCGCGATTGCTCTCCGGAGAAATAAACCGGAATAGTAACGGCATAAACTAGTAATGCCCCAGCCGCCCTTCGCTCGCGCACAAAACTTCGCCAACTTCAAACGCGCGCGTTTGTTCTTGCTTCTTGCCTACTTACACCGCGGTGCACGATGCCGCGGTGCGTGGCGACCGTTTGCGGCGGCGGCGCGCAAAAACTGAAGACTCTTAGGAGAGCCATCATAAAACGGCCGCGTTTATGCCCATAGCCCAGCCGCCCCAAAACCACCCGCAACATCCCAGCGACCTTTTCTCTGCTGTCTTCGACCTGCGGGTCCGTTTTGCGTTTTTTACAATTTGCGCTTTTCCGTCGGCGTTGTTTCTTCATGCTCCCGGCGCGCAAACCAACTATCCCACTTACAACTTGCGTTTTTCCACGGTTACGACTTACTACTCACCACATGCCATTTGCCGTTTCGGCGGCACTCGCCCATTCGTAGATTACGTTCCTTCCAGAGGGTGGAGTACCGCTTTGTTTTCGTCGGCGGCGTGTCTCGTTTCACTCCGTTTGCCATTGTCTGTTCGGTCGTGCTGCGTCGAGTTACATTGTATTGTTGTACCAGCACCAGAACAGAACCGAGGCTAAAGTTTTATTTGTTTCATCTGTTTCATTGCTTGCTTCATTTTCTTTCTGCCTTCAATTACGTTTTCACCTTCTACTTCATTTTCCCCACCTCCACGCCGCCGCCGCCACGCGTTTTTTCCGTGCATCTGCGTCGCTTTATGCGAATTTATTCATCGCATTATCAGCGATCGTTTTCTTCCGAAAGCCTTAATCTTTCCGTAGATTTATCCCATTGTTGTGCGCCGTGTGCAAATCCTACTCTGGCGCAGGTTGCAAGTTGATTTCCACGACCAATTTAAGCCGGATATTATTCTCGCATTTCTATCGCGACTAAGATTACATATTACATATTATTGTTTTGCTCGCAGCGCGAATTCTAGCGCCCTAATTTCAAACACGCGTAATTACAATCGTAATAGTAGCTGGTAACAACGCGCATCGCCCACGCCGGGAGTTGGTCCCTTGGATGCTTGGCATTGCGCCGCGCCGCCGCCGCCACCAACCCTAGATTGCGTTGCGCACATGCCGCGCGTATCATGACTCGTGCGTAATGCGAGTGAATTATCATCGGGATGATTGATGTTCATCTATTTGTTAACATTTATAACGACCTGAAGTGCTCTCGCGCGCCGCTCCCATTCCATCCTTCACGGCTCTCCACAGACCTGGAATGTACTCCATTCATATGCACACTGCATATTCTAAAACTACGCAGTAATAATTAAATCACACACCAAAATATTAATATTCTTGTTTTTTAGTAAAACTAATTCAAAAATAAATAAATATTATTTTAAAAACTCTATTGGGTTAATTTTACTAGTAAAAATTTAATGTTATGTATCACCCTGTATGTTTTCACTTGAGTGCGCCGGTAAGCATTGTACTACGGCCGAGGAGTGTAGTGGTTGTTGATGTTGATGTTGTTGCTGCTCCTGTTGTCGGACCAGTGCAACGCACAGAACACACACCAATCTACTATCGCACAATCCCTCCGACTGGATTAAATAAAGCCTATGGCCCCGCCACCCGGCGCCTCCACGCGCGCACTCGTGAGTGAGTGCTCATCGTATCTCACGAGGACGGCGCGCAATTCAAACATTTTTTTAGAATATATTTTCTAACACGGCGCAACACCATAAATCCATTGAGCGCGCGCGTTTTGCGCCCAAATCGCACACGCTGCGCCGATTTCGGCCGCTTTTTACGCTCGCGCGCGAACCGCAAAATTTTTAGCGCAAAGTCCGACATGCATTCGGGATTTTTTTCCGATCACGTTTCATCGGTATGCTTTAACCATGATGTCGGTTTGTGGTAGTTTTTTTTTTGATAAATAAACATGGATAAACATTGGAAATTTTGTTAATTTTAGATATGGTCATATCAATTTTTAGATAGTGCTTTTTGAACTTTGAAAATGGAAAAGTGTGGGCCGTGTATTTTGAAGTTGATTTTTACAAAATTTTATTTTTTGGTTGATTCGTAAAGAAATGTAATATTATTTGATGCCGGAGGGTTTGTAAAAATGTATTGTGTCAACATACATGTTTTCCCAAACACAATTTATTTATGCTACATTTTGTAATAATATTTGAAAGTATAGTCTTCTAAACTTTATAAGTGCCCTGGGGAGCATCAAACTTTCTTAAGCAAATATTCCCCATTTCACAGATCAGCAAACTTAAATAATATAATTTACTGGTTCTCATTATACAATAGTATATTGAGTATCAAGTGGCTAAACGGGAGTTTTAGTCACGAGATTGGTTAAAAGCGAGCGTTTAATCGATTGAGTGTTTAACAACGTTTAGTCATGTGATGTTTTTGTTATTTTTTCTTCTTTCATTCTATTTTCACAATTAGGTTTTTGTATTTAAACTTTTGTATTGTAAATCTTCGTAATTCGTTTTCACACTATTGTGAAATGAAAAACTTATTTGCAAATGCGCATGTGCAAGCTCCACCCCGTGACTAAAGTACTTTAGTCACGGGTTTGGCCTTTCGTGTCTAAAGTACCACATTTTGTGTCTAAAAACTGTAGAAAAACTGGCGCTTTAAAGATGGAAATAGAAAAACATAATTAATCAATATTGATTGTTGATTTATTTAAAATAACTGCACAGTCATGAAAAGAATCCTCATACTTATTCCAGCCGTGATTGCATTAATTCATAAATAAAACAATAAATGTAAAACAGGCCGTTTGCGCTGCCCCCGCCGCGCGCCAAACGCGAGCCAAAAAAAAAAGGAAATGTAGAACATAAAAGAATCCAAATTGCGCATTCGCTCATTATATCCATCTAAATCGCTCCACTAAAACTCTCTTCATTCTACTCTCCGCGATTATATTAACCGTACACAGATTTCGTGATTAATTATCGCGCGTATTAATGATGATTAATTTTTTCCTTTTGTCTACATTTGCGCTTTTGCTAAAACACAAAAAAGGACGCAGATAATTGAGCTATAGGCTTAGGCTCCGCGCCGCTTTTTCTCGTCTCGCGCACGCCCGCCCCCACTGCATTACTACGCTGACTAGGATTTATTAACTAACCGTAACATCATCGACAACAAAGCCCGCAGCGCGCCTTGCACACAACAACCGAACGGCTGCTAATAACACAATAACCGAATTAGGAAATTCCTCTGGACGGCGGCGGCGGCGGCGGCGGAATATGAATTAGTAACGAATTAACGAAGTCTAGAAGGTTCAAGGCATAGACGAGCAGTAATAATGTGCGAATAAAGCGTGCATAAAGCGTGGAACGAATTAAAGCCGATGGAATAAAGTGCGCGCCGCGTGCCGACGGTGGGTTGTGGTGGCGGCGGTGACGGCGTGCCATCCACTACTCAAGGACGCCGCGGCGAGCATCCCAGCCACCGCGCACCGCTAATTAGTTTTTAATGTACTTTGGATGTTCATTTTTGTTCATCCATACCCATCTTCGCTTTTACTCGAGCGCACGACGAGCATTCTTTACTGTTTTCGCCGCCTCCACCGCGCCACCCCCAAGCCGCACCTACAGCACAAAGTATAGCGGCGCCGCAAGGTCGCGCACGCTTCGAATTCCGCGCGATTCCGGCCGTTAAACGGAGATAAGTTAAATTTTGATTCGATTTTCTTCGATTAGCATTCCAATAAAACGATAGAATTTACTCAAGTCAATAATTCCCCTCGGTTGATATCTTTGAAAGTTTCAAACGTGAAGGCAGAGCAAATTCATAAAAGATTATCAAACGATTATGCGAGCCACGAACGTCTTCTATCATTCCGCTGCGCCCCGTTTACCAGTGTCGGCTTTGCCGCCGCTGAGCCGGACTGATCCGATGAGACTCAGGTCGCGAACGTGACGCAACGATTTTCCGACCTGCGAACGCCAGCGCGCACACACAGTCCAGCACTACTAACGCGATCAGGATCAGCTTGGCGCGCGTGCGCCTCCACCCAGCGCCGCCCGGCGCCTCCACCACATATTCGCGCTTGGTGTGCGTGTAGTTATTATGGTAATAAATTCGCATTGTTTTCATTTTTCTCGCATTGTTGTTGTCGGCGCCTTATTATTTTGCCAGCGCACGGACGGGCTTCTGCCTTCCCCTGGTCTAACCGTTCGAATAATGCAAATCATGCAAATTGCCGTGAAATTTATTCGCTTCCCACTTCGTAACCAACCGATGTACCTACCTTTGCCGGCTACTTAGCGTTGCATTAATTTAACCGCAAAACGCGCAAAGAAAAATAGTTACGCTGCTGGTAAACACAAAAAAATATGATCATAAATTTTGTTATCACATGCAGGATGGAAATTACACATACTCACCTGTGCGCTTTCCCGGCCGGACTGCAATAGAACAATGTTTGGTTTTGGTAATTGCGCGCAAATGTAAAAGTCAATACTGGAATGTTTAATAATTCATTTATTTATTCATACTTTAATAATAGTTCCATTTGTAGTGCATTTCCATAATGGTTTTGAAATTCCTCGCTTGCAAAATGAAGTCAACCAAACCAATCACAATTCTTACATAGTACAATTTACCATAGTACAGTTAATGTGGACATAGATTTCGTACGCAGTCGTTTTCAATCAAAATCACTCAAAATCTCATTAACCATTGTAATTTATGTATATCTATATAATTTCTGGATTAATTTATTTCGTCCTCTGCTATAGTTTTGTTTATTTGATTTTTCATTTCATTCGCCTAGTTAGTGTTTTTTTTAGGGAAACTTATTGCTTATACAGTTTTCTTGAATAATCATCTGTTCGCTCAGTTTTAATTTAATTGAGTCTTGCGTTCACACTTCCGCTTCCTTTGTCATTCGTCCAGCATTTATTTTTGGATAAATTACAACTATCATTAGGTTTACATATCGTATCATAGTTTCGTGCTCATAATACTTACGCCTGTCATCTTATTGGTAAAATATTTTCATTCTTATGTACAATTTGAAACTAAAACGCTTTAAATTAACAAGTACATCTCGATGGTGAGTGCTTTTATCGGTCGCGCGCGATTTCAGTTTCGTGTGCGGAAATTTATTTCGACGACCGAATAAAATCGAGCGCGCGATCGTACAACCGCTTCATCGAAGTAAAGAGGACGATAAACATTCTTTGAGTACTCCTCGAGCGTCTTATAGCTTATAAATAATCAAAAATCTTTCAATATTAAACGTTTAAAATTCTCATAAAACTTTTGGCATGATATTTTTTCTCTTCTCCATTTTGCCTGCTTGCTTCAAGTTTGGTAATAATCGGTGTCTCCGGCGGGCGTTTTGATATCTAGCGCTAATGGATATCGCGTTCGCTTTGATTTTCGGCGATTCCTCTTCTCTCTTGTCGTTGCCGCCACCGCCGTTTCCGTCAGCTCTGCTAATTAGTTTGCCTCGCTTTTTAAATACCTTGATATGAGTGAGCTTTAGATCATATTTTATTTGGCCATTTAGTAACATATAGTATATATATATTTATTTGTTTATATATATATATATATATATGAATAATATACTAACTAACACTCATTAATTAGTGTTTTTGTAACGTTATCGAATTATCATGAAAAGTGCTTTTATATGTTTTCGCTTGTGGGGCGTGAGGTGTACTCTGCGCGAATGGTGGTTGGGGGCGGCACAGGATGACAAAATAGTTCAATTATATTCTTGTTTGGGGCTAATTTCATGAAAAATTCACCGCTTCGCCCCGCGCAGCAAGCGTAACAGTATACAATTCGAAGATAATTGTTTAATTAATACATAGTGGACGTAGTGCATTCAATTGCGCATGCGCAGGAATAAAATTAACCAGTGCCGGCGAAGGAAATAAAGAGGACAGTTGAGTATCGTCACATAATGATTAGAAAGCCGGTCCGGGTAGAGAGCGAGTAGAAAAGGTGCAATAGGAACCGAAGCGACCGCCGGCCGCCCGTGGGGCAGCAGCACAACGTGCCTCGCTTGCGTGAGTCCCCTCTTACAACACGACAAGACAAGGCTAATGCGGGCGGATGAAGCATGTTACCGTGTTTGGCCGGCCGGACGGCCTCGGCCTAGACGTGGGTGGACACGTGCGAGGTTGTGCAAAGATGTGCAAATCGTACGAAATCGACAAATGGGACACGCAAACCACCCGCTCGCTCGCTGCCAGCCAAAGCAGGTTTTTGGTCTTCAGGGGACCTTTTTTTCTCTTCTCTACGCTGGATTCTCCCTGCGTTTTTCTACCTTTCATTGGCCATTTTTTTTCCATGGCGCGGAACGGACTCTTTTACTACGGTCCTTAGTTCCTAGTGCTTTCGGGTCCTCGCGCGTGGCGCGTGTCTTCGCGAACCCACCACCCGCCCGAATTCCTTTCAACTACATCGTCCCTTTTGCTTTCTTTTATCGCGCGCGCATGCCGACCCACGCCGGCACATGTTGGTTTGGTGATTTATCTATTTGGTTTCCAAACCGGCCCGGCACCGCGCGAGATGTTATGCAGACAAGCCGCAAGCATTGCGCGCGTTCAAATTCTCACTTTCACTCGCGGTTCACCACCGACTCCCCTACACACTTATAACTAGTACTTTAACTTACTTTATACCTTTAAATCACAACACATTTTCATCTTAATTCGACGTATCGTCCCGGTTGCACAATAATTACACTCTGCACGCCGCTTATCGATTCGTACGGAGTACTACCACTCCTAATGCGGTAATGACCAGCAGGATATCAGTGCGCACTGTTGTCGTTGAGCTGTACCAATAGGTGAAGCTCGGATTGCTGTGCTGCTGGATCTGCGTCTCATGGTCGAAGAGCGCCACCGTTTTGCTCGCGGTGCGCGCTGATTCCGGCACCCCGTCGAACGACGCCACGCAGCTGAGGTCGATGTGCTTGCCGTACTTCTGCGTCTCGACGACCAGCCGGATGATCAGCGAGGACGACGCCAGCCCGTTCTCGTCCGGCTTGCTGCGCTTGATGTCGCGGACGTACTTGCCGGCCGCCTGCGGGCAGAACAAGCAAACAATCACGCAATCAAACGCTGCGCCGGAGCTAATTTCGCACGCCTCGCACGATTCGGCCGGAAGAAAGCCAAGAAATCAGATGGATTTCAGATCAAATTCAATTTGATCATCGCGAGCAAACTTCAATAACTCACTGCGACTGCACTGCGCAAACAAACTCGACTTACCAGCTCCTTATTGATATACCAAGTAATCAACTGCGGTGGATCCGACGGTGCTGATAGACACTTCGCCGTGAGGATATCCCCCTCGGCGTAGTGCGCTTCCAAGTCTTCAATCCAAGGTCCTTCGGCTGGTAACGCCGCAACTGTTACATTCCGTGTTTCGGAGATGAGGCGGAATGCTGGGGCTTCTGTTGAGACTTCACAACGGTAAGCACCACCGCTGCGTTGCCTCACCAGATGATCCAGAGTCAACTGACATCTACGTGTGCCACAATCAATGGTTTCGTTGGCTAAGCGGACGCCATGAACAGGGAACAATAATTGATGTGGTTGTTGGTGTGGTTGGTAGCGGAAGAATTCATGGTCATCTTTGTACCACTTCACGGCGTACAACAGCTCACCACCCATGTCAAACTGGCATTCGAGATGCAGCGTGGAGCGGTAATCAACTACTCCAGGGGCGGACATTTTTGTCAGGCGTAAACACTCGACTGCAAACAAGAAAATAATTGATTACTGATCGTTGGCTGCTAAAATTTGATGTTTTGCACTGCTGGGAAGTCTTTAAAAGGTTAGATACCTGGATTCTTTGGACGGTTTGCAAGGATGTTTAAAAAAGCGCTCGGGCAGCGAGTTTTTTGCATTGTTTTGTTTTATTTTAATGATTTCAACCACAATACAAAGGAATAATTCATTTTAATTTATTTTATTGTTGATGATTGATGAACTTCCCAAAACCTATAATAAACAAAGGAAAATTTAAGCGATTGAACTTGCAATTATATCACGATTGTTTTGTTATTATGCTGGTACTTACGTATGGCAGATTATTTTGTGCATAATTTTTGAAAAATGACTTTTGAAATGACTATGAAAAAAACTATTGGACGCGCTAAAATACTAAGCGTACTGCGCAAATGCATGCATGACCCATCATTAATCCAGCACACAATGAACTCAAATCGCTTCCGTTCTCCTTTCGCGTCGTTCGTCGATATTTCTTCCGGAAATCTTGTTTCATTCAATTTTCCACGCAAAGTTTCTTCGTGCGGCAGGCGGGCCTTATTAATTCGCACGCCGCTCGCCGCTCTCGGCGTGCGCTCATCGTTCATCGCCCATCGCCCATTCTTTTTCTAAACAATGAAAAGAAACTTCATTTGTATTACCCAATAAGCGGCCGCTCCTCTGCCGGGCTCACATGCGAGGAAATAATATTGAAAATCGAGCCCGCTCGACTGTCCATCGATTGCGCCCTAATGCGGCCGGGCGGCGGCGACGGGCGACTCGGATGGTATTTGCACAAAAGTGGGCTATATTAAATTCGGGGCAGTGCGCACCCCGCCAGGCTTTATATTCCGGCGACTTTGGCGCCAACTTTTTCCTCGGTTTTAATTTAACGTAAAATCTCATTGATTTTTTTCTGCTGCTCTTTTGCAAACCTTCGCCTCCACTCGCCGCCCTCTGGCGCTTGATTAATATCCGTGTTAATTTTCTATTAATTACTTTAATTTTCAATTTGGAAATTATTGATTATCAATTAGACAATTAATTATATTTTTTAAGAGTTTTACGATTCATCGTGAGAATAATGAAATTAAATTAAAAAATACAAAGTTTAAGAGAATAAATGTGATGTTTTAAGGAGTTAGAAGTAGATTAAGAAGAAGATGTTAATTTTGGGCTTTATACCTATCTTAAGATGCTTCATATGATCGAGTCATTTTGTTAATTTCACGCGAATTGGAAATTTAACGCCGTTTTAATTCGCGGCAAGAGAAAGGAAGCGCGAGACAAGCGCGCACAATGCGCCGCCGGCGCACGGGAACACCGATTGTGTAGGCATTGTTCCGGCCGCCCAATTGTCATTGTTCTGCCCCCGGTCGACTCTCGCGTGAACTCGGTTTTGTTTAGTTTATTCGCCCGATCGCGGGAGGCAAAGGCCGCGCGCGCCTAAAACAAACGCAAACCGGGATTAAATTAAACCGGAAAAGCTTGAGCCACCACCCCCCAAAAAGCCACCCGACCAAAACGCGGAGGTAGTCGCCCACGTTCCACGTTCAGAGAGAAAACACAAAACGTGTAACCTACGAAGGGGGCGGTGCGCTAGTCAAATCGTTCGTCGCTCGACGATTAACAATTAACGATCGACAATCAAGCGCGCCGCGTCGTGCATCTCCCGCGCGCGTGATCAACAACGACAAATTGCTTTTAATTCATTCATTACGCCCCGCGTACCTGCGAGGACAACAAAACGCACGGCGGCATCGAATTAAACAAACGAAACAGCGTCGTTTATAAACAGCCGACCCTTTTACCCTGCATTGAACAATGATTAAACAAGCAAGAAACGAGCTACAAGCAGTAGGTGCCCAGTGAAGCGATTGAAGCTGGGAGGGGGGGGGGGGAGATGAATTTCGCACGCGTTCTTTGTTCGCGCCACCCCCAGCAATAGATTGTTTCCGTGTTTGTACGCACAATTTAGTTTACAGTGATCATTTCGCCGGTTTTTTGTGTGTTTTGCTGGACAAAAACACGCGAAAAATGATTCATAATTACCTCGACTGCTGGTGAGCGCCAGGAGGGCGAGAGCTTGCGAAAGTATCCACCACATCTTGTCCGTGCGAGTTGAGTGCGCGTTTGTCAACTTTAATTTGATCGCACTTTTCCGCTGGCACTTATTTTCCGGCGCGTCGCTTGAATTCCGCAGTTTTTCGTATGAATCACTCGACTTTTTGTCGAAAACACTGAACAACATCTTCGTCCTGACTGTGGTAAGCTTGAAATTACTCCTTGTGGTGTTGTGGAGTTGAGAAGTTTTTTTTTCTTTTTTCTTTTTGGTTTTAAGAAGTAGCGCCCAAATTAAACTTGCGTTCCGCGCAACTAATTTAATCGCCGACGATTTTCCATCTAATTGTTCGTCACGATTAACGCGAAATTAATGCGACACTCATTAATATTTATTAACGTCGGACGTGGTGCGTGGTGTATCATGCGGCCGTGCGTCGCCAGCGAGAAAAAGCGGCGGCCGGCGGCGGCGGTGCGTTGCGCTGCGGCGTTGGAATGCGAATGCCGTCAAGGCTGGAGCAATACTGGCGGCGGGCGGCGAGCGCGTCTACTCCGAGCGTATTAGTGGGCGTTGCCCGATGCCGCACGGCACAGCATACTGACGGCGCGACGTACGAGGATGCACTGTGGCGGCGGCGGCGGCAGCGCGCGACCTCATCTACCGACGCGCACGCTGACGCAAGCTCATCCCTCTCTCGCTGTTCCCAAGCTGCACATCCGCATCACCAGCATCTGAACTATCGTGCTACGTACATTTTCAAACACATCATCTGTCGAAGAAAATCAAATTTGTTTCAGATTTTTTGATTTTTATTTGTTACACCTGAGATTCCATCAGTTCATACTTCTCTATCTCTCATTTTACTCCAAAAGAAACAAAAACTCGCCTTTGGTCCGTTACGTTTCGCACGTAATACTTTCTTAACATTAATTAGACTTTAATTAATTTCGCCGCTTTATAAATACAACGAAAAACACGTTACGAAGGTTTTTCTACGTGGAATATGACGGCGGTGTATGCAACGACGGCTGAAAGGAGTAAAAAGGGGCGAAAAGAATGTGGAAACGTGAAAGGCAATTGCAATTTATGCTAATTAACATTTTTTGAATACGTTGTACTTGCGTTGATGAATAATTTTTGCAATTAGGGGCGTTTAAGTGAATACGCGCCACTAGCAACAATTCTCATGTTAAATGCGCTTTGTGACCTGTGAAAAATAAAACATACTCGAGGATAGAATTACGCAAATTACGCTCTCACATAACCAAAGGCTTAAAAGTTGTGTTCGAGTGCATTACACTTTTCAGCATGCGGCGCGCATAGAAGGAACTGAAAAGCATAAACTAGTTGATGAGCAAATTCGCAGAAACGCGGATTTCCGAGTTTACCATATTGCGTTTTCAAAGCCGCAGGCAAAATGTGATAGAGACGCGTCTAATTTTTTCAAATAACTAAAAGGCAAGCTGGTAAACTTTGAAGAAAAATTCAAAAACCGCGGAATTAAAGAAAATTAAGCTGGTTTAAATAAAAATTTCATTAATTTTATGTAATTTACAAACTAAACATTAAATTTTTGTGTTGTTTGTTTAATTAGGTAGATAAATACGTGTTTTTTAATTAAAACTATTAAAATATTTCTAAAAAAAAGTTTAAAATGTTATAAAATTGTTATCAAAACCAATTCTGACGTGTTATTGAGTAAATAATGTCGTTTTTAACAATCCTTTAGCATATTTGTAGCTTAAATTAAGAGTTGACTTCATTCCATAAATATTTTGATATCGCCTGATTAACTAACAATCAAAATGATCCAGAATTAAGCAGATTCCTGCGGTTTTTAACAATAAATACTCAAATTATTGCTCACTATATTTCCACTTACATAATAATGCGTAAACGTCGGAAAATCCAGCTGAAATCAACCTGAAACACGGTCAACAACCTAAAAACTGGGTTTTCACCGTCGGCCAGTCCCAAAATCAGCTCGCAAAACAGATAAACGCCTCGGCAACTCAGCGCGCTTACGATGAGCGGAGGATTCCAGCTTAGCCACTGGCGCAAACGCATACCAATCGCATTTGTTTGCTTGTGCCACAGCAGAGTTTTAGTTAGTTGTCTGACGACTTCGCGGAGCGCATGTATCACGCCGCGGCCGTCATTAGCGATCGCTTGCGGCGGCGTTAAATCGGTGCGATACGCGACCCGTCCGTTCAGTTCGGTGCGCGAGTGCGAGTTGCCACCACAAACGACGTCAGAAAGAGGTCCGGTCGGCTCCACTGATAGTTCCGCGGCAACGCATCAACAGCACGCACATTGTACATACTAATTGTTGTTTTTTTTTCCTACACATCACAATCGCAAATACATACACATGCCAACAAAGCACTGCCTGTAATAATTACTAATTACAGATATTAATGCATGCTAATTATGCGCGAGCCGCGCAAGACTGCCAGCGACAAAGACGCAAATTAAGAGGACTGCAAACAAACAAAAAGTGACAAAGTTTTGTTATTGTGCATTAAATTCCTGCTGATAGAAAGAAAAAAAGTTTTACAACTTTATCGTTGTTGCTGTGAATGAATTCAATTGTTGACTGTGATTTTTCATTGTAAGTGCCGTGCATCACTTCCCCAGGATGGTGAAGACGTCGAAACCGAATGTGTGTCATCTCCTCCAGTCGGGCACGCTGGTGCTCTTGATGATCTTGAACTTGATCGCTTCGTACCCGTTAGAAGGTAGCGATTTCTCTCTTCTAGCTGTTAATAATAACCTTAATAAGGCGGCCTCGCAGTTCTCGCAGTGATCAAAGGCGATATTAATGTCGGTTGTTAATGCACAGTAATGGTGAAAATTCCAGAAGGCTCCTCGTGCGACTTGAAGCAGGAGGAGCTTACGGGCGGCGGCGCCGGCGCCGGTACCTGCGTGGTGGTCAAGCAGTGCCCACCGGTGATCAAAAGTCTAAAGGCGCGCCGGAGTCATGATTTTGCCCGGTGTGGGTTCCGAGGCACGCTGGAGATTGTCTGCTGTCCGAACGACGTCATCCTGTCCGAGGACGACAAGGACAAGCTGAAAGCGACGCCGAAACCGACGACCACCAGCACTACCATGACCACATCCAAAGCAGAGGTACGCGGCCCTTCGATAAGAAAAAGTGTTCAAGGTGAGTCTAACATTCGGAAAACGCATCAAATGCACTTTGTGGGTCAAGTAAACAAATTGTAATCGGAAGGAATGTTGTTCGTGCATGATGACCTTCATAATTATTCCATCATCATACGAGGTGTTAAGCTATGATGATCTTTGAAAATATGTTTCAAGTATGCGAGGATCTATTGGAGCGTTTCAAAGAGCAACCAATCAGCCTCCATATTGCGGGTGGGGAAGACGCTGACCCAGGTGAATTCTCGCATATGTGTGCGCTGGGCTATGACACCGACGGCGAGCCGAAGATTGCATACAACTGCGGTGGCACGCTCATTAGCGAGCGGTACGTGCTCACCGCCGCACACTGCATCATTAGTCAATCAATGGGTGCACCTGTCCGGGTGCGCATGGGCATGACAGATTTAAGGACAACCGACGGCGAGGAGGTCGCCATTGCGAATATTACAGTACACCCTGAGTACCAGCGTAAGAACAAGCGGAATGACCTCGCGCTGATTGAGTTAGAGCGCGGGGTGACGTTCACCAACAGTTTACATCCGGCTTGTTTGTATACCAAACCAGATAATCCTAAAGGTTTGATAGTTACAGGCTGGGGACACTTAGAAACTGGTAATTTATTGGGTTTCTTTTTGATGATTTTGTGAAAATTTTTAAAATTTTCGTTTTTAGCTGGTAGAACTAGTCCAGTCCTTCAGAAAGGAATCCTATCTCCTGTGGAGGTATCCGATTGCAATGAGTCCTACTCGCGGGCACCGCAGATTTCCGTCACCATCCAGGCCGATCAGGTGTGCGCCATTTCCACAAGCGGTAAAACCGATGCATGTCAGGTAGGCCAATTTGCTCTCCGTGCGCTGCTGAAATAATCACGTAAATTGTGGTCATCTAGGGAGACAGCGGTGGTCCCATTCAAATACTGAGTCCTGCCAGTAACGTATACTTCGTCGTCGGCGTGACATCCTTCGGAAGGGGGTGTGGGGGTACGTTTCCAGGAGTGTATGCACGTGTGTATAGTTATATTGATTGGATTGAGAAAATTGTCTGGCCGAAATAAATTATGGACTTTTTAGTTTTTTAGTCAACTTAGTGGTTATATATTATATACATCCTTAAACTCTATTACAGCCAGAAACTAACCAGCAAACAATATCTCTATGTATTTATGAACAAGCCAGAGTTTGAAACTAAATCAATTTGACATCGCGAGTTTCTACAAACTGATATTTACCAGTTTATAATAGTTTGTGTGTTTGTTTGCTCTTAAGAAAATTATTTATTGCGAGTTGGGTGGAAAACTATACGCGATCGAGTAATTCACATTTCAGCGCATTTGAGTCATCAAACACTTGAATATTATTTGTTTATGCTGTGATTTGTTCAAGTTCAAGTTGCATAGGTCATCTGCGCGCAAACACAAGCGAAGATAGTGAGACGTTTTGCTTATTTATACGTACACGCAATTACGAGCTATTTGTGTTTACATTCGTTGAATTTTATTTCAGTTTTTTTAATACGCGGAACTGTTTACTCTGGTTTTGACCTATTTAAATATGGAGTTAATACAACCAGCGACCTCTGTAGGATAAAACTTAAATGTATCAAAAGGTTACGGAAGTTTTTGATGTAAACACACGCAATTTGTAAATTTTCCCATGTTGTTTCATGATTATAAAGATCAAGGAGTACGTTGGGTTATTCTACATGCATCAGAACTAATTATACACATTAGAATTGTTTATAATAAGGGGCTTATTAAGTGCTTGGTTTTTTTGATGATTGATAGCAATGAACCGCTAAATTACGCAATACTTCACGAAACGGATAGAATGAATGCGGCAAACAATGGAAAGGATGTTGTTTTATAAACATATTGGTTTTATGGCAACCGAGAAGTAAAATAGTGCTAAAAAATGTGTGACTGATGAAATTATACAACCCAACTTGCCAAAGACTCGAAATTTGTAATTTCACACATTCATAAAATTACATAGAAGTGTTTTGTGAAGGATGCGTCTGAAGCAAAGAAGCAATTTTGCCAAGGTTGCTATGAAGACTAATCAACAGAGAATTTCACCTTGGATGCGCAGATTTTAAATATTTATCGCGTGGAATTTTTGAAAATAGCGCCCCCTATCTATATAATTAATAACCTGCGGCAAAGTGTGTGCCCATGTTGTATTCAAAAACACGTGAAGAACTTGAACAATATTATTCTCTAAATCTTGTTTAATTTACGCCACATTACGAAACATCCTTCAATGCTCAACGATGTCGTCGAACGCAAAGCTAAAGGAAGCGTAAGTCTTTCAAAGAATTGAGGAGACATTAATCTTAATTTAAATAAGTTTTAAGGTTATCTTTACCAAACTTGTATGCATATCACATTGAATACTTTCTTTGCTTTTAGTTTTGAACCGGAGGCAAAATTTGGCGCATTCTTCTCCGGCGGTCATATCGAATGGCGCGACAAGCATCTTTATTGCCAAACCCAAACACATATCAACAAGGTCAATGTAGATACTGGCATTGTAGCAACAGAACTTGCCAAAGAATCAGAAGAACTAGAAGATGATCCTATTCTCACATTCACAACTAATATAGAGCATACAATAACAGCACACAAGAGTGGACTATTTAAGTTATGGAATTCTTCAAATGTTCTAGAAAAGCAGTGGAAGTGCATCCATAAAGGTCCAGTTGCAACACTCTGCTTACAAAATAATCTCCTGCTTAGTGGAGGATCAGATGGTGTTGTCAGAGTTTGGGACATGGAACATCATGCATGCATTGCAGCATTAAAAGATGCTGTGGGTGTTATAAATGTTCTCACAATGCATAATGAGCAAATATTTGCATCAGGAGATGATGGAAACATAGTTGCATGGGAAAAAGATGCAGTAAAACTAATTTATTCAGGACATTTCAGCAAGGTGACTTGTATTATGTTCAGCAATGATGGCGAATACTTTGTTAGCTCTGGACGAGATAAAGTCTTGATTCTGTGGCGATTGAATGACAGCCATGCGGTACGCACCGTGCCGGTGTATCAGTCCATCGAGGGAATTATTATGCTGCCGACAAATACGGTAATCCCGACGGGTAACACCATCGATCCGGATGGAATTGTGGTCGCATGCGCTGGCGAAAAAGGCACGATTTCATTATGGGATATGAAAACATCCAAAGAATTATATAAACAAACAAACTCGTTGATAAGCCCTGCAAAAACCGAAGGTTCCTTAGCTGTTACACATCTTCTCGTTGACAGCAATGATGCCAAGCGTACGGAACTGGCGTTGGTCTCCGTTGAGCACAACATCATCATCCACCATACGAAATCATTCGCAATCCTTAAACAACTCATCGGTTTTTCGGATGAAATACTGGATATTGCGTTCTGCGGCCAGAAGAATGAATATACTGCAGTGGCGACGAATAGCAATGATATTAAATTATACTGCAGTGCTACTATGAACTGCCAGCTGCTGGTAGGTCACACCGATATTGTAATGGCTGTAAGCGTAGCACCGTTCAATCCGCATTTGTTAGCGTCCAGTAGCAAAGATAACACTGTTAGGTTGTGGAGCATCGGCGATACATCGAAATGCATTGCGTTGGGGATGCGACATAGTGCAACCGTAAGCGCGGTGTGTTTCTTTAATTCGAGCTTTTTCCTCTTTACTGGCAGTCAGGATAACTGTGTTAAATTGTGGGATTTGTCGGGTTTGCCTTGCGTAGACAAACGATTTGATAAAATTTCTCATATCCAGGATTTGAACGCAAGTTACACCGAAATCGCGCACTCGAAAGATATAAACTCATTGGCAGTGAGTCCGAATGACAAATTGTTGGCGTCCTGCTCGCAGGATAAGACAATCAAGCTGTGGACGGAGAATTTAACACTCTTGGGTGTTTTAAAAGGGCATAAACGTGGCGTATGGTGTTGCCGATTTTCACCAATTGATCAAGTCCTGGTAAGTTCATCAGCTGACAGTACGATTAAACTATGGTCAATCACCGAGTTGAATTGTCTTAAAACTCTTGAAGGCCACGACGCTTCCGTGTTGCGCGTTGAGTTTATAAGCCAGGGTCGGCAATTATTAAGCTGCGGGGCGGATGGTTTGGTGAAACTCTTCGATTTGAAGACATCTGAATGTGTTTTGACATTGGAGGAGCACGACGGACGCATTTGGTCGCTTTGCATGTCCGAGGATGAGTCGGCATTCCTCACCGGTGGTTCCGATTCGCTGCTTATCAGATGGAAAGATGTCACCGAGGACAAGCGGTTGGAGAAATTAAAACAGCTTGAGCAGGAGACAATAGACGAGCAACAGCTGTCGAATTATTTGCATCAGGATCAACTGCTGAAAGCTTTCAAGCTTGCTTTGAAGCTGAACAAACCATACACCGTGTTGAAGATTACCCAGGGCGTGATTAAGAAAGGGCAGAATCTAGCAGAAACAGTGGGAGGATTAAATAATTACGAGAAGGAGACACTGCTGAAGTGTGCGAGCGATTGGAACACAAATAGTAAGAATTGTCAGGCAGCGCAGTTGGTGTTGAACATCCTCATGCTTCAGATACAAGCTGGTTTGTTTAGACCTACGAATCTAGCGGCGGTCATCGAGGGCAATTTGGGCTACACACAGCGGCATTATAAACGATTGACACAACTGCAGCAGGATCTGCAATTTATTGATTATACTCTCATGTGCATGCAACCATTTAAGGCATAAAGTTGACTTTATTTTGCATAGATTTACAGGTCAAATGATTTTATTTACCTCCCATTGACGTTAGAAAAAGCTAACAAACAATAAAGTTCACTACAATTGAATGATAATATGTAGTTATACACATGCGCACTTATCCTGGTGGCCAGTGCATCTGGCGACCGGATAAAATGTGCAAATGCAGATGATATACCGATTGGGCGCCAATAGGCCCATCGTTTACTACCATACGGAAGCCGTTGTCCAGGCCGCGGTCTTTGGCAATTTTGCGGGCGACGAGCATAAGGTGGCCGAGCAGCTGCTCGTCGGCGTCAGAAGCCTTGGATAACTGTGGAATAGGTTTGCGCGGAATCACCAAATAGTGGACCGGCGCCTGGGGGCTGATGTCGTCAAACGCAACGCACTGAAATTGTTGCCGATTAGTATTTGCAAGCACTTATAGGGTAACAGCAGTACCTGTTCATCTTCGTAGATTAATTTGCACGGGATTTCGCCGCGTAGAATCTTGCCGAAGATGGTGTCGTCGCCGGGTGAAGCGTTCTGCGCTAGCTCCACTTCACTAGCCATTTTCGAGTATACCTTGTAACACGTGTGTAATTAATATTACAATTACAATTTAGAAGCCGGATTATGAGAGGTGCAAAATCTATCAGCAAATCGGGAGAAGACTGCTGAGCTCTAGTGCTGGTTTGTTTCGCAGGAATCTTGACAACTTGTCGTTGAGCGCCACAGCGGAAATTATTGTAACTACTCTCTTCGCAAACAAATGCATATATTACAAATTACTATTTCTGTTTTTTGTCTGATTATAATGTCATAAGATTTTAGAAATAATGTATAATTACAATTTAGTTTACGAATATGGATTATTTACACATACAGTTTGAAAAGTATTTTGAAGTATATAGTAACATAGGCAACTTATACATCTGTTGACAACATCGAGACAGCCGTGAACAGGGCATGCGCCATGCTGCTTGCTGTTTAGTGCTGCTTGTGGTGCACGGAACGGAACAGAGAGCGGAATCACATAGGGGACAACCAGCACCACCGCTTCAAAGTGCGTCAGGCAGCCGAGCGCGATCGCATCCAGCCAGTGCGCGATAGCGCAATGATAACACAAGGCTCGTCGACGCCTTGACTCTACGATAATAGTAACGCAGGAGCGGCCCGTTGCCGTGATGTTAGTGCGCGATTCCCGGCTCTAGGTGCACTCCACGAACTGCAGGGCTCGGTGCGATTCGGCGAGTTCTGGGTGAGTACGCAGTGCAGCGGCCATCGTCTCGCGTAGCCTAGGTTACGCACGATCTGACGCGAAACGTCCGTCGCCTCCGTTACACTATCTGCTTTGTTCACTCACTTTTTGTTTTGGCGCCTGTCGCTGCCGCCGGCTCAGATCCCACGGCGATGCCAGTGAGTGAGATCGTCCCGACTGCGGCGGCGTTCCTGACTAGGCCCTCCAATGGGCAATTGCCTCGCTTGCTTCAAGGAGCCCCCAGTGACGGCCCCAGAAAGCAACACTAACTGCCAAAAAGAAGGTGTGTATCTCCTTGCCCCCCAGTGGGCAACATGCATGTTTTGAAATGCGTGTTTGTATATAAACAGAAACGTCAAGTGCAGTTTTGACTGAATGATTGTGTTTGCAGAAATGCCTGAAGCGCCACTGTTTTCGACGACCTCACACATTCCAAGCGTACTCTCGCTGGAAACGAACCTGATCAGTAACGGCAACCACCTGGCGGCTGTCGAGTCCGTGCAGAGTACACCTGCAATCGCGCGTTTCTACTCGTACCCAAAACGCACGCAGAGCAAGAGCGCACCAGCCATGGGAGCGGCAGATAGCAAGGCACCGTCGGACGCCAAGCTCAATCAGCTTTTCGACGGCTACAAGGACCGCGACGACGATGCCATCCTCGAGGAGGGCATCGAACAGTTGTGTAAGGACTTACAGGTTTCTCCGGAAGACTTTCGCGTGCTGTTGCTGGCGTGGAAGCTCAACGCTGAAATGATGTGTCGCTTCACGCGCGTCGAATTCGTCGGCGGGCTGCGGCGTATTCGCGTCGACTCGATCCGTGCGCTTCAGGCGCGACTGCCGGAGTTAGTCGCCGAGGTGGACGCCAACTACGAGTCGTTCAAGGCGCTCTATCGGTTCACGTTCAAGTTCGGCCTGGACGCTGCCAGCGGCGAGCGCATCCTGCCTACCGAGACCGCTATGGTGCTCTGGCGGTTGGTATTCACAGTGCGCGAGCCGCCGATCCTACGCCGCTGGCTCAACTTCCTCAAGCAGCATGAGCAATACCGCGGCATACCGAAGGACACATGGAACATGTTCCTGAACTTTTCGGACACGGTCGGCGACGACCTCAGCTCATACGACGACAACGAAGCGTGGCCTAGCATATTCGACGACTTCGTTGAATTCGAGAACGACCAGGCCAATCAGAACGTCGCCAAAGAAGATAACCTGATGATCCTGAAGGACGGCTGACCTTCGCTACGCCGCCTCCTTTTCCATGACGTTGAATTTTTATAAACGCGACACGCGAATTGTACATACGACATTTGTATCCGTGTAACTGTATATGTTCTGTGACCGTGATTCTAATCTTAGTTGGGGGAGCGCTCGCGCCGTTTTGTGGCCGACTTAAGCTTCTGTGAGACGGGCGGGAGACATGTTGAATGGACTATGAATAAATCGACATAATAACTATTAATTCCTATATAACACAATTACTATTAATCAGTAAAGACATAAAACTGGTGGATCTTTTTGTGTTTGGACAAATGGTCTACAAACAGCCGGGGTAAGGATCCGTGCGGTTCTTTCGGAGCACAAATTGAATTTTGCGGTCCATATCTTCATTGTAGATTGCCTTGCAGCGTTCGTAGTTGATGCGCCGCCGAAATTGAAAAGGTTTCTCATAATAACGCGTTCTTCTGAACTGATCAAGAATGCCTTCCTTGCCGAGGATCCGGTTGAGTACTTTGCAAGCAGAGTCGACGTCGTTGTTGCGCACGAGCACAGTGCGTGCCAGGAAAAAGGGATGTCTCATCGTTTGCTGTTTTGTGTTTGTTTAATTGCAACTGAAAGCAGTAAAAGAATGATGTGCTTAATAACCTCAAAATATTAATGTAGCCGTGAAAATTATGGTATAAATTCAAGTTGGGAATACCTACCACTGGAAAATATTTAACTGACCTATCGATGAAATTGTTCAAGGTATGTGATTGTTATTGGATTGTTACCTTCCTTGGATTTGTAAAATATTTGGTTAAGACGATATATACAGGTTAGCAACATTGGCTGCATAAGTATCTTTCAATTATTCGCAATTTTAGTTATACTGATTGCATATAGAGGGCGGTTCATATATTTGACAAGAAATTAACAGTATGAAGTTTTATTTTTCTTGGACGCCAATTAATTATCAATATTAAATCAAGACATTGCATCAAAAATATGATGTCATTTTCGATTTGCTTAGATTGTTGCAACCAATCAGGCTGTAATCTGTTAAATTATTTTTATTTTAAATTTAAAAAGAAAATTTTTTAAACTGTTTGCCAGCGCCATTCTTTTCACTTAAATCATGCAGCGCCATCTACACGATTTCGAGTAAAGTTCTTGCTTTGCAGTGCACTCGCAGCGCTGTTACTTGTCAGTCGGCAGCAGCGCCACCAGGCCATACTTGCTTCCCTATCATATCTCGCGTATACTATGCATGTATTCCGACTCCGCTAGTCCACCAATGCTTAGCGGATGGGTGGAAACATGGCCGTCGTCGTCGGTTGCATTGGTTGTATGAGTGCGTTGTATCGATAACAACCATCGTTATTCGCGCCAGCTGCATTACGCTTAGTAACGTTTAGTGCCGGTCATACCGCTCGTGTGCTCGTCAACGTCATCGTAGATATCCCACAGGTAATCCACGCTCTGTTATTCGTTCCCGGAGTGCAGCAACAGATTCCACATCGTGTTCGGCCGTGCTACGCAGCGGCGACCATTCCCTGTAATCAACGTCGCACGCACACTCCCGTGCGCCGTATTTAGATCTGTACTTGGATTTGCTCGAACGTTCCCAACAGTGCGGGTTGCCTCTTAGCACCGAGGTTCGATCATCGGCAGCATCAGCCGTTCTCGATCGGGACCTTCACCGCCTCGCCCGCGTGTATTGGTGTGTGCGTTAACCCACACTCCTCTGTCTCTGTGACGCCTGTCTTTCCGGTGGTTGTTGGGCCCTCGGGGGTGGCAAACGTGTGAACACAGCTAAAAGTGTGCGGCATCATGAATGGCGAGGGAGATAACGACTCGTGGCTGCTCAACGGCTGGGAGCAGCAGTGCGCCGATTCGATTGAGGAGCAACCCGACGACGAACACCAGCTCTCGCTCGAAGCCGACAACTTACATCGTAAGGTGTGGACCGTTTTCCAGGATTCCGCTACCGCCATTGCCCAACTGTACAAAGGTTAGTACGGCTCGACTAGCACATGTGCGACCAAGTTTTTACTGCCAGGGACTCACTGATCTAGTTAACAGCTGAAAATTTAGTGGTGGCCAGCACCATGCTGCGTCCATGTTCCGCGCGGTTATAGGTAACTCGGTTAGTTGAGTCTGTCCAAAAACGACCGAGTTTTGTAGAGAATGATTAATGAACACTTACTAATCTGTAATGCATGTCGTACATTTTTCATTAACAGCCCTTTAGTCAAATTCAACTTCAGCCTGCAAACAATAATAACAAGCATGGCCAAATAATTGTTGTTCAAAACTCAAACACTTTAACATGTTAATCATGCATGTAATGCGTTGCTTAATCAATTAATAAGATTGGTGTATTTTGCATACTCAACTTGATATCGCTGCAAATGTGTCTTCAAACTAACTGCAAAACGTGCGAAGCCGTTTTGGCGTATCATTCCCTTCATAAAAATAGTCGGCGCGCTCATCTTAATGGCTCAGCGACACGTATATTTTTATTGTCCGAATGACGTTTGCCAGTCCGACGAGAAATGCTATGCGCTACCTTTGATAATACCGCTTTTAACGTCGAATCTTTGCGAATTTGCGTATGAAATTTGTATGGGAGTATTGTTCCAGCGGTACACCATATATATAGGACTGAGTAGTTATAGTTATCGTTCCAGAGTTATTTTTAATATTCTATTAATATCGCTACGTCGAAAGAAATCGGCAAAAAGCGAGAATCGTTACGGGGTGAATTGTCTATTGAATAGATAAGTATTTGAAGCAGTCATGCATTCCAATTTAATAACAGGTCGAAATTTGATGTTACCTGTTCGGCTGTGTATTTTTTCTGACCTGAAAAATACGATTTTTTGTACCTGTTCAGGCAAAAATGTCTAAACCTTGTTTTTGTTTGCTTTTGCAGATCGTATAACAGCTGATCCAGCCACGCTTTGGATTTCCTTTCAGACTGCAGCTGGTACCGTGACGTCCCTTTATAAAGGTAAACATACAAATGATTTTTTGAGTGGAATGAAATTTTAAAGGCTCGCATCTACCAACAATAATGAATTTGTATAATTTCAGATTCGTGTGATAGTATACGACGTTCAAGTGAAATGGGCAAGCAGTGCGGCTATCAGAAGCGCAATCGTGAACTGCTGAATTGGGCGAAGCGAAAACGCACGTTAATTCGCCGCGAAGACCTGCTGTCCTATCTGTCCGGCAAACCGCCGCCACCACGCCGCGAGAACCACCACCATCATCACCGCGTCTCGCCACGGCCGCGCAACATCTCGCCACCACCGAGCGTTATGCACGCGACGCACAACCAGCCGCCGGGCGACGACTCGCTCAACACATTCACTGAGGCGCTAGCGCGGTCTACGACGCGTCGGCCGCTTGGAGGTGCCGATCTGTGCGCATTCATCACCGGCGAGATTCAACGCCACACGACGAAGCGCCCTGCCAGCCCATCGGACGTCACGATGGGCAGCCCCTCGCACCAGAAGCGACCACGGTATATGTAGTTGCGCCGTTGTCGCCTTTTTGTCGTCTGAATTGGGGGATGTACATTTGGTGATAGATTTAAGACAAACCATTGTATAAACGCGTGGCGGAATCAACTTATTTATATGCGCGGGCCGACTCGAGTGCGAACGGTTTCTAGGCAGTAAAAAGCTCTAAGCGTGGTTACGTATGCTTTGGTTTCATCTGGGTATAAGCGCCTCGGCACGACGAAAACACCCCTAGGCCTTGTGTCATAATCTTTCGGATGTTAACCCAAAAAAAAAAAACTAGAAACTCATCTTGTAAGCAAGCATGGCATTCATGACGAAACGAGGGGGTTGTTTGCGATTTTCTGAAAAGTACTACACTGACATTATGAATACCTGCAGCGCAGCATCTGTTTCGAGCCTATGTTCTCAATACGCCTAGCTATGTAAAAAGCAACGTTTTCTACAACTATGACTAAGTCTATTTAGAAATGTATTGAGTAGGTTTTAATGAACGAAGGCGCCGTATGAGGGCCGAAAGGAGGAGTGTTATTTAGTTAGTTATTATTGGATTCAACATAAGTTGGGAGAACACCAAAACGCTATGCTTTAATCATCAGTGAGGAGAAGAGAAAATAGGAGACTTGTTTTTCTCGCTCTCGATGCACGCTGCTGCGCGAAATACAAGTCGCACAATATGGCGGGTTGAATTAATTACTATTAATCAATGAATGTTTTATTTAGTTCTATTATTTCAAAATATTATTACCATCATATTTGAAACGGAGAAAATGTATAATTACATACTTATTAAACAATAATATTAGATTCAAAAGAAATAAATTATTTAAAAACTAATGGGGAAGATGATTCATTTTCTATGGTTGGGAATTTCGTAATGGGAATATTATCGGGACGCAATTTCTTATTAAGTTATTTGTGTCACTCTGAAGCGCGCTTTTAAATGTTTCTGTTTTAATGTGTTTTGCTACACTTTTATATTGTTTTCGGAGGTGTTTCGCGCTAGTCAAGTGACAGTTGGAAATGCGCGAAACATGTTCGTAAACATCATTTACCCATGTAGGTGTGTGATTATCACTTATTCATTTAATTATCGAAAATTGAATAGTTGAGGGGAGTATCGTTGATTTGGCTGGAACCCACCTTAAGCTCCCGCTGTTTCCGTAATAATTTTTCTCCAACATCACTGTGAGTTTATAAATGAAGAACATGCAACAAAATGATCATTTTTTTTTTTTTGCAACGAGGTGTATGGAATTAACTTTGGTATCCCATCTCGAATAGGGAAGCTCCATAGTTATGCAACATTGAGTGGCCTGAAATTCGAGAAACTCACATCAACAAGCAATAATTAACTTTTATATTTTCAGATTCGTGTGATAGCATACGACGTTCAAGTGAAATCAGCGATCAGAAGCGCGATCGTGAACTGTTGAATATATTCAAGTAAAAATATGAGAATCTAACAAACTGCAACTTCTGAGATGGCAGAAATCACTGGTGGCATTATAACACGCTTTACATAAGCGATTAATTAATTATGACTAGTTTGAACACTTGAGTTTTAGGTAAAATCGCGGATATACGAGAACTAACAAAGGAAATTGCTCTTTTAATATTGACTTAACAAACTTGAGATTCTGAATTAAATGAATGAACGTACGTGTGTGTGATACAGGAGCAATTCTCCAGTATTCCGGTATTTGAAAGTTGGGAGAATCTGCCGCCAGATTTGTGTGTTGAATAATTTACACAGTTGATTAATTACAAAATATCAATTTTATGAAGAGTAGGAATTTTTAGCTGTACATCGGAGGAGTAGCTGATTTGTTCCATTAGAACAAGTAGTGGTAGAAAACAATGAATTAATTATGTAATGCAGTGCAATAACTGATCATTTGGACTTTGCAGAAAATATTACAAGAGCACGAGAGTGTACTGGTATATTGTTAATTCAGCCCAGAATAAAACAAATTGATTGGCATATCACATTTTGTTTGAACAAAATTCAGTCATAAGTTAGTTTAAAGAGTAGCATTATAGATAATTTTCCGTTAGGAATAAATTTTAGTGATTTCTTATCCATATGCGCATTCCATCGACGTAGTCTTTTATATATCGCAGAATGCCTATTTGTTCATCATCCAATCCATCGGCGCAGAGTGGCAGCATGACATTCAGTACGTAGACGGTCCGTTCCAATTGTTTGAGGAACGTTATTATCTTGAGCATTTCTGCAAAATTATATTTATAAACGCACACATTTAAATACAGGGCAACATTTGTTTGGCATATTGGCTCTAGTTTATTTATTTGTAAATGGACACCATTTGGCTTCATATTACAATAAGCATTACAAAGTTTGAGTCAGTCAGTAACAATTAATTCATGACAACACCATTTTACACTAATTTATAAATTACATTTCGTTAATAAACTAGGTAATTATGGCCACATTGTTCTTAGTGCTGACAAGTGCACTAACAATTCAAAGTACAAATAAAACAAAGGTTAAATGTATTCGTATAGCAACTTGACGATCAAGTAAAGGGTAGAGTATATTTGCTTCAACACAAATCCGTCATTGATTTAAATTATACTTTTTATACAGAATTTACATTTTATTCTAATAAGATTGGTAGAATAGTTAATAGAATTCGAATTGTACTGTCAATTAGTATAACGCAATTTCTTTAACCCCCATTAGCTTTAAAACTAGAGCCAATCGTTCATAATACACCATTTTATCATATATAATTACGTGTGTGTATTTGCACATATTACATGTTTGAATCGCGCAATGCAGCGCCGTTATGCCAAACAACGTTATCTCAATCAGTACTCACTTGCAATTTCGATCCTTTTATTGTCAGGCATTATGTTGGAAGAACAATTAAATTAACAGATAATATGCTTGCAGCTTACAGCTTAAAAAATTTTTATTTGTTAATGTTGTTGTTGTTGTTTGTTAGTGTTGATTATTTTGCACTTTTTAAAATAAACACTTGTCTTCTTTTTAAAGTGGTGGTAGTGGTATGACAATATTTGGTGGGTTTGACTGTCAAAATTGAAAACTCGGTTGCCCCTAGTGGTGATTATGCACACCAAGCTGCGTGCGCATACACCAACATAACCTGCGAGCTCCGTATTCCACCAAAGCTCCTTCTAGTTAAAACCATGGCGGTGAGTACTACGCTCCGATCTGGTTTTCCTAATAAATCTGGACCATCCTGGTTTGTAAACGCTTAGGATCCTCGCTGAAGTGTGTCGAGTGTAGTTATCTTGCGCCTCCGATAAATATTTTCGCGTTTTCCGTCTTTGCCTGAAAAAATTGAAGTAATTTGTGTTAAACCGTGTAGACAGGTTAGGTCTAAGTGATGTTTGTTTCTGTTGTGAGAACTTCTTCGCACGTGTATACTCACCATCATTTAGTGCAGAATATAGTTAACCAGGATGGTCCAGATCAGTTTGAGACTTTTATACAGTCTAAAGCAGTTGTAATATAAATAATACTAATGGTAATGTAATTTGTTTGTTTTTCCAATAGCCCGTCGCACCGAAACCAGCCAAAAAAGCCACCAGTGGCAAGAAGAAAGATGTTAAGGATAAATCCAAGAACATTATGAAGGATTTACACATTCGCAAATTGTGCTTGAACATCTGTGTTGGTGAATCTGGAGACAAGCTTACTCGTGCTGCCAAGGTACCATTTTAATGCTTATTAATATGCTTCTGAGATCATGCACATACACTTCTTTGGTTGGTTTTGATAGCCAACTGAAGCAGTATATTTGTGCAATATTAAATTGCTTCTATTTGCAACCCATGCCCACTTGTTCTTACTGGGTGTGTTACTCAATGATGCAGACATTAATATCAGTAGCATTAGTCAATACTTCATGTTTAACTACTTTTGGACCAATTAATTAAATCTGCATTTGTAATATTTTAGGTGTTGGAACAGTTAACTGGTCAGCAGCCAGTTTTCTCCAAGGCGCGTTACACGGTTCGTTCGTTCGGCATTCGTCGTAACGAAAAGATTGCAGTGCACTGTACTGTACGTGGTGCTAAAGCAGAGGAAATCCTCGAGCGCGGCTTGAAGGTGCGAGAATACGAATTGCGCCGAGACAATTTCTCAGGTGAGTTTATCTAAGTTAATTATATTTAGTAGGCAATCATTCTTATTCTGTTCAATTTTTGTAGCGAGTGGTAACTTTGGTTTCGGAATCCAAGAACACATTGACTTGGGTATCAAGTACGACCCGACGATTGGTATCTACGGATTGGACTTCTACGTCGTGCTGGGCAGGCCCGGCTTCAACGTGGCGCATCGCCGCAGGAAGCAAGGCAAGGTTGGTTTTGCGCACCGGCTCACCAAGGAGGACGCCATGAAGTGGTTCCAACAGAAATACGACGGTATTATTCTCTCGAGCAAGAAATAAATCGTTCGTAAACTTTACGTGCGCTAAAGTTATCATAATTCATAATAATAAATTTAATACAAAAACAAGCTGCAGTCAACGAATCACCTCCAGTAATCGCCTATCCAACTAGTTGAAAGTGAAGTTATATTTTGCATGCATCAGCTGTAAGTTCTGGATCTACAAAATAATGCATGCTTATTTTGGAATATTTCAGCAATTTGATCATCATGCATGAACCATATATTTAAAGTTTAGTGCTAATTCATTCATAAATTTATTAGTTTTGCTCATTGAAACAATTGACTATGCAGAACTAGTGCTGGTACAGGTCATATCATTTTTGCTTGAATGCTCTGGTATTTCAGAAACTATTTATGACCTTATTCAAATCCTGATTTCCTGGCAAGATATTTTTTTGTCAAAAATTACCACTGCATATATCTCAGTTTCAGGATGTTTATTTTTCCTTTTTATTGCGTGTAATTGGTGATGATTATGAAGGAACGCCAAACCAAAAATATCAAGGAGTCATTTTAGTTGAAATTCTAAAGAAAAGGGTTTAAAATAACTGTGTAAAGGTAAGTGAGTGAATTACATGCTGGCGAATTTGTTCGGGTATTTCAGTTCACACGATGTTGATTCCTTCGTAATAAATTAGTGCTACGCTAACCCACAAACCCCAAAAACGAGCGCAAGCTTTCTTAGTTGATAGGTGCGAGAGGCTACTAATGTATTGAGTTACACATCAGACAATGTAAATATGAATTTACGGTCGAAGAAATCAACATTTATTATAATTTGGGGTAGCCCCTTCAAGCAGCCTCTTTGAGTGTTTACGCTTTACATTAACTGTTATTTTTATACACAAGCGCAGCGATCTCTTGCGGATTAATTTGCGCCAGTATCAATGACGTAAAACAACTGTGGTGCTTGTACATAACAACGTTAGAAATTGGCGTAACATGCAAAAAAGACGGGCTAAACATTATCAAGGCGCTGCAAAAGACAGTATTGTTGTGGTTAATTACGTAACTTCGACAGACATTAAAAATACGCAACTAACGAGATTCGGCGATGCGTGAAACGAAGGTTTATTATCTGATTATTTGACAACCTGTTATCAACTCAAGAATGAGCCTTATGAAGAATATTACGACCAAATTCAATCGAAGTTACTCTTTACGTTGGAACATATAACTTTACAAGGAGCTGATTTGAATTTGAAACCATATAACAGGGGCAACCAAACTCCTTGATAGTTCGAACCATTTTACTTCTCTTGATAATTAAAATTTGGTAAATTATTAGAGAAGCTGGTTAGCCAATACTGGTCGATGCTTGGGTTTCACGAATTTGAAAGTGGAATCAAATGATTCTCGTAAGCGACCGTTGTTCTATCGTTGCAACTGTAGCTGACTTCATTTATTCAGAGATGTGAAGATGCAGATCGACATTAAGTGTTCCGGAACGACCTGTAAGTTAACTTCATTTCAACAATTGTCACCTCTTTTAAATTATCTTTATATAAAATCAGAAATGAATATTACTAAACGATACTTGATAAAATCGTTACAAATCAGTGATATTCATTTCCGATTTTACATAAATTTAGCCATCGCGTTATGAAACTATAATTTATTTCAATTAATATATATTTACTGTTTCAGGAACAAACACTCAATCGTTGCCAATGAAAGCAACATTTCGTTCAACATTATCGAATGGATATGGTATGATATTTATTTCAAATAAATAAAATGGAAACATAATAACAATATAACAAAATTATTATTGTCAAATTGCATTTTTGTGTTGTAAAACTTGTAAACGACTATTTTTTGCTTGTTTTAGGGGTTTTGAAGTAAGTATTGAATTTATTTATCATTTTCATTAATAACTTTAGTGATTAGCGCATTAATTAGCAACGAAAATTGCATTTTTGTGTTTCGAAAGGCGGATTTTTGCTTGTTTTAGGTATTTTGCACCTGAGGCCGACATCGTAGGAGAACCATTCTTGTATCAGATTGTAAGTATTGAAATTATTTATCATTTTCATAAATAACTTTAGTGATTAACTCATTAATTAGTAAGGAAAATTTCATTTTTGTGTTTCGAAATACTGACTTTTGCTTGTTTTAGGTGTTTTGCACCTGAGGCCGATATCGTAGGAGAACCGTTCTTGCATCAGATTGTTAGTATTGAATTTATTTATCATTTTCATAAACAACTTTAGTGATTAGCTCATTAATTAGTAACGAAAATGGCATTTTTGTATTTCGATTGACAAATTTTCAATGTCAATCAAATAATATTACAGTTTCCGGCAACCTCGTTCTAGTTCCTGCTCCCGAAAGTAGATGGCGCCAGGAGTTGTTCACACTACTCTGTAAATTAGTTTAGGGTGTTGCTACTAGATGGCGCTAGAGGTATGTTACATTATCCTGTAAATTACTTTGGGTGGTCGATACTAGATGGCACAAGTATCGGATTTATCCGGATAGCAATCAAAATCAATATTTTCCACTTAGTCTATCCTGCGCTGTTATGGGCGCGCGTGTGTTTTTGCCTCTACATTTGCTCTCGGCTGCAACTTGCATTTTGTCGGATTTTAAATTCCGCGTTATTTAATTCTACTGTCGAAAAGTAAACGATTTAGTTAGTGGCTTTATCATGTGCCCTCGTGTGTGCTGACGTTTGACGGTCGTCGGATCATTTTCTGTGGCTTCGATTTCTAGGAATTGGATTCATTAATCAAAATTGTTCAAGTATTAATTCGTGAAAATAAACCATTTGTGTTCCGCCTGTGGAAAAATTGTTAGTTCAAAAATATTAAAGTGAGTAGTTTCTAACAAATTGGATGAATGAACAAAATAGTTGACTTAATGTTATGTACAAAGTAAATTTTATTTCTGTCTAACTTTTTAATTTTTACGGTTGCAATTGCATTGCTATAATAATAAATGTATATGATTCCGCCAATAAAGGATAATTTTAAATTATATTCCCTTGTTCAGTCCGAGTTTTAGTTAATTTAGCGAATTAAAAATGAATTAAAGTCACGAATCACAGCGCATTTGATTTGTGTTTGTTTTTAGATGTCAAGGAGTTTGATTTGTGTTTGTTTTTAGATGTCAAGGAGTTGAACGTGACCTCGGTGTACAATTGTGCGCGCATTCAATTGTGAGTATCGAAATTCTTATCATTTTCATATCTGCTTTGTTCACGTAGCCAGCTATATCTTTTCCTTCTTTAGTCGATCGTGCGATGTTGTTCGGTACACACGTGTTTTGTTCACAAGTCGATCTTCGTAACTAGTTTGTGCGTTTCTTGTGATTTTAAGTCGGTAGTTGAATTAGAATCGATCAGCAAAGGTAACATTTAGAATTACCGGCCTAGTGCGGCGTGCAATTAATGAATTATCACGGGTGGAAGTCAGAATTGTGTAGTTTTACAATGTGCGCACGTTTTTGCCGTCGGCCGTCGGATATCTTACGTCGGCTGAGAAGTCCGTCTCAGTGGTTTTATTTGCGTAGTGATATTAATTTGTGAAACTATACAATGTTTGTCCCCGTGTGGAACATTTTAACCGAGAAAGTGCACGTTGGTAACTGCAACATTAACATTTGATGAATTAAACAATTAGTGAAGATGGACGAAAAGAATTTATCAGACGTTAAGGAAAAGCGAGGTAACCGTTGAATAAGTAAATACTCTGAAAATAATTAAATTTTAACAAATAATTTTAAAATTCAATATGTACTCTTGTGATTGTATGAGTTGCAATAAACTATTCTTTTAATATTACATTTGCATTTACATTTGTCTATATTTGTCCTCTTTTTTCTCGTTTTCAGAATTAGATTTAGAGACCACATTTTATAATACGTGTTTGAAATGCGAATAACAGGTACATAAATGTTGTTGTTTTTAGAAAGGTGACAAAAACAACAACATTTATACATGAAACGAATAGGCTTTGATAAGAGAGCTCGGTGGCTCAGCTGGCATGTGTATACGCTAGCATGCTAGAGATTCGTGGTTCATGGTTCGAATCTCAGTTGTAGAAAGCAGTTTTATTAAATAATAAGAAATTTAAGAAATGTGGTTTGCATACCACAAAAATATATAGATTCAAATGTTAGAAATAAGTTGAAGAGCAGAGTACGGAGCAACAATAGGAATAAGTAAGAAGATGGTGGAAGAGCAAGTAAGTAGAGAGAGCAGCAGGAGAGAATAGGAGAAGTAAGAGAAGAGAGAGAGTACAGGAAGAAAAGAGAATAGGGGTGACAGAATTTTTAAATTTTTTGGCACGTGTCGTTATAAGACAGTCATAGGTCGATCTCCCAGAGCGCCTCCGGCGCTCTGGTCGATCGCCCACTGCTTCGATGCGTCCGTTGCTCCCGGCCCATCCTACAGCTACGATGTCTCTGCGCTTCATCCCCGAAATTATCAGGCATATCAACAATTTTTATGGTGGGGGATCACCCCCAGAGAGAGGGAACTCCTTATAAGGACATCCTTTTAAGGACTTGTAAAAATATTTCTAATTTCTAAGTCGCCTCAAGAGAGGGGACACTTAAAAATATTCTTACAAGTTCTGACCTGCAGCTGAAATGAAAGATGGAGAACACAAATCATACAGGATACCTTAACAATTTTTATAGTGGGGATCATCCCCTGAGAGAGGGAACTCTCTTAGAGACCTGTTCCTGAAATGATAGAAGGGGTACACAAATCAAAGAAGTCAATGTATCTTACTATTTATTTATTAACAATAGAATACAAGTTTATATTTTACAAGTCAACAGAATTCATGTCGCCACATATTGAAACAGGACTTACGACCTGCACAGCCGCTCACATTCCATCAAGTACTACTACTTCATAAAGTTATACCGAAATAATTATATTAGTAAATAGCCAATTTTCTAGGTGATTGAAAATGGAAACTAATATACAGGGTGTTACAAAAGGAAAATTTAAAGTGCAAACAAAAAACTCTCGACAATACAAACGCCGCTCGTTTTCACTCGACGATCAGGGAAACTAATATACAGGGTGTACCAGAAAAAATTCAATGTGCAAACGGGAAAATACTGAAAACGACAGCTAAAGCAAAATTTTCACGGACACAAAGAAAAACATATATACAGGGTGTTCTAGAAAGAAAATTCCATACTCAAAACTGAGAACACTCAAAACTCACAACTAAAGGTAGTTTTCGACGTGCTGTTAGGAAAACTAATATACAGGGTGTCACTAAAAGAAAATTTTAGAAATTACAAAGGGAGTCAATATTTACAATATGAAAAAGGAAATTTACAAATTAACAACAATATTTTAATATAAAAACTGAGATTTTGCCCGAAAAACATTGGAAAATTGAGCAAAGGGGTGCTACAAAAATAAAACACATACATTTTAAGATATGGTGAATATATATTTATTAATTGATGGTAGCATCAACTGTATAAGGTAACCGACGGGTGAAGCACCATCATAAATTGATAGAATATCCGACGGAAAACATCTAAATCAACAGACGGCAAGCGACGGCGCGTAGCAACACAGTGGTTAAAACCATAAAAATAACTATTTCTTTGTAAATATTAAGATATACTGAGATTGCGAAAAAGAAAAACTATTCACCGTTTAAGATTTTATTTCAACAAGAATTATTAATTTAATGATGCAATTCGATTAAAAATGTTTACGTGATCCTCGAAAACATGACCGAACCGACGGCCGGCGGCAAAGTAAGCGTGGTCGACCACATGAATATTGTCATTTTAATAATCCTCAGATAATTTTAAAAACCGTGCTTGTAATAATTAAATGAAGCATGTTATTGAAAAATCAATTTAAGTTAAACCTCCCTAACTTTCCGCAAAAAATTTTAATTGTCTACCCACCTGTGCATTGATGAGGAGATTTTCTATCCTGTAATATATTCTATCAACTGAAAACTGGCACAGGGATTAACGGACACTTATTTCTAACTTACGAAGACTCTAATCGCCATAAATCATTAAACAAAACATTCACACATGCATATTGCGAACATTTTGTCGATGGTCGAAAGAATACACGACGATTAATCCAATTAAAACCTCAAAACGCGTGGCGATTAGAGAGACACGCTCGCGGACCACGCGGTTTAACAACTGCCGTGTGCGCTGCGCGTAGCGGGGTACAAGGCAGGTATGCAGGGATATCACGCGTCAGTCGTACAAAAAAAGTTGTTTATACCCAAACGTACTGATAAACACGTAGTTGAGAAGACGAAACTAAAAATTTACAATGTTGAAATACACATACACGAAATTTACTTTTACTTTCAATATTTCTCGGCATATGAAAAGAATAAGTTAGTTGAATTGGAAATTTAAGAGATAAAATTTTAATTCATAAGAAAAAATAGGCAGTGAATATCTTCTAAACTAAAAGAGGTAGCAACTAGGAAATTATAGATTATGGAAGATTAGAAAATTCTCAATCAGACGGAAATTTAAAATAATTTTTTTAATGGGGTAAAAAGTCTAAAACCGCGACTGGAAGTGCTCGAAATGCAATTTTTCAAGTGCCGCCCGACGGCATCGCACAGGCATGGGCGAAGGACATTGAAATTTCGTTTTAAAAACAGTGTATGAGCAATATTTAATTGTCAATGCGATTTCAGAATTAAAAATACAAAAGAATAATACCAGACATTTTGGTAGATTGGAAGATTCTCTATCAGACAAAAATATAAAATAATTATATTTCCTACAGTAAAAGGTCGAAAAACGCGACTAAAAGTGCTAAAAAGTGACATTTTGCAATTTTTGCCCATTTTATTCAATCGCGAATATCTCGTAAACTAAAAGAGATAATTAAGATCTGATCGCAGCGTCTTAATCTACAGACCAATCTCTATCAGATAGGCTATTTAAAGTGGAAATCTGAGAGATGAAATTTTAAGTCTTAAGAAAAAATTGCCAAGGGGGGGTGCTTGATACTTTTTTTCGACGATTTTCAAAAATTCATATCTCTTAAACTAAAAGAGATAGCTACTAACGAATTGTTGATTATGAAAGATTGGAAGATTCTCTATCAGACAAAAATATAAAATAATTATATTTCCTACAGTAAAAGGTCGAAAAACGCGACTAAAAGTGCTAAAAAGTGACATTTTGCAATTTTTGCCCATTTTATTCAATCGCGAATATCTCGTAAACTAAAAGAGATAATTAAGATCTGATCGCAGCGTCTTAATCTACAGACCAATCTCTATAGAGATATCAGATAGGCTATTTAAAGTGGAAATCTGAGAGATGAAATTTTAAGTCTTAAGAAAAATTGCCAAGGGGGTGCTTGATACTTTTTTCGACGATTTTCAAAATTCATATCTCTTAAACTAAAAGAGATAGCTGCTAACGAATTGTTGATTATGAAAGAATGAAAGATTCTCTATCAGACAAAAATATAAAATAATTATATTTCCTACAGTAAAAGGTCGAAAAACGCGACCAAAAGTGCTAAAAGTGACATTTTGCAATTTTTGCTTATTTTATTCAATCGCGAATATCTCGTAAACTAAAAGAGATAATTAAGATCTGATCGCAGCGTCTTAATCTACAGACCAATCTCTATCAGATAGGCTATTTAAAGTGGAAATCTGAGAGATGAAATTTTAAGTCTTAAGAAAAAATTGCCAAGGGGGGGTGCTTGATACTTTTTTTCGACGATTTTCAAAAATTCATATCTCTTAAACTAAAAGAGATAGCTACTAACGAATTGTTGATTATGAAAGATTGAAAGATTCTCTATCAGACAAAAATATAAAATAATTATATTTCCTACAGTAAAAGGTCGAAAAACGCGACTAAAAGTGATAAAAGTGACATTTTTCAATTTTTGCCCATTTTATTCAATCGCGAATATCTCGTAAACTAAAAGAGATAAATAGGATCTGATTGCACCGTCTTAATCTACGGACTATTCTCTATCAGATAGGATAGTTAAAACGGGAATCTGAGAGATGAAATTTTAATTTGCTTGATACTTTTTTCGACGATTTTTGATAATTAATATCTCTTAAACTAAAAGCGATAGCTACCAACTAATTGTTGATTATAAAAGATTGGAAAATTCTCTATTAAATAAAAATATAAAATAATTATATTTCCTACAGTAAAAGGTCGAAAAACGCGACTAAAAGTGATAAAAGTGACATTTTTCAATTTTTGCCCATTTTATTCAATCGCAAATATCTCGTAAACTAAGAGAGATAAAAAAGGAACGAATGACAGAGTCTTAATCTACAGACAATTCTCTATAAAATAAGCTAGCTAAACCCGTCTTGCGCTATCGGAATCCGATAAAAAGTTTGATCATTTTACACAGGTTTTCCGCAATATGATCCGTTTTCATATTACCATTATGTGAAATTTATACGGCCCCTCGAATTTGTGGGCTATTGCAATACGCAAGTGAAATGTGACAAAACATTTAACCGAATAATATAACTTAATTATTAACTTACCAATACAGCGTTCCTCGGATTGCAAGGGTACGGCAAGTACTGCAATTAAAAGAAAACATAAGTTAAAACAAAAACAATTCATACAATATGATAATATTATATTCACACATGGGAGAAAACAAACTTTCTGTGCTGAGTATCGCAATGGTCAGAGGAAAGTAACTTACTCAAGCACGAATAGGTTTCCGATTAATCTAGCAACCGACCACGTCCCACAATAACCGGCAATAAAACCGCAGCATAGTAATTTGAAATATAAACATCAAAAGCAAGCAAAA